ACCCCCACACACCCACACACCCACACCCACACCCACACCCACACACACACACACACCCACACCCACACCCACACCCACACCCACACACCCACACACACACACACACACCCACACCCACAGACAGACACACACACACACACAAAAACACACACACACACACGCACACACACACACACACAGAAACACATGCAGATTGAGACACAAGGATCGTATCTGCAAGTACAGCAAGGGCCCTACGACTTTGCTGGGATCCGAAAGCCTCGGTGTGCACAGGGCTATTGACATTTATGTGTCTTTATTATGGTAGACAACCATGAGAGCCAAGCTGCTCACGTAAGCTTTGGCATTTGGCCTTTCGACGTGTCGCTGTGAGATTAAGTCTTACTGCGACACGCGGCGATGCACTTCGGATTTGTGTCATGGGCTTTAAGGGGTGAGGTGCCCAGCATTAGGCTTGAGGCTTGAATGCTTCAGGAATAAATGGTTAATGTGCAGCAGGTGTAAACCTGAATAATGTAGGGATGACAACGGCATGACATGCAAACCTAACGAACGCCCAGATGAATGATGCCACTAATGTTGAAGCTGGTGCTGGCATCACTTAAACACAACGGTGAGTAACAATGATGATGGACATGCAGAAGATTGTGATGATCATGACGATAACCGAGACAATTACGGCGATGCTGGTGGCGGTGTGGCGGTGGTGGTGGTGGTGGTGGTGGCGGCGGTGGCGATGGTACTTCTGCTCAAGGCGATGATCAAGACCTGCGATGATGATATTTAGTCGTGGAGAGAATTGTTGGAGACGTTGATGCCGCATCTTTCGATGCGTGCCTTGGCAAGTGCTGCTTCTGCTCGTGCATCGCATGACGGAACACCGATAATGATCCACCCTGAACATGACGCCGTTATGTGGTGTAGTACCTCATGTGCCTGTGACTCTTTGGTGCATTGTTACGATCGCTTTCCAAACGCTTCGTTTCTTTCCAGGGTCGCGCAAGCCCTAAACCCTAAGTCCTAAACCGCCAGCTGTGTCCCACCTCAAGCTGCCCAATCTGGGTCAAGGCATCCATTTCCAACTCGTCGTCCATGCAGCCCTTTCGATTTTCGGTTTTAGGGCAATCGTTCAACCCTAAACCCCTAAACCCTAAACCCCTAAACCCCTGAACCCTAAACCCCCAAACCCCGAAACCCCTAAACAAGAACATGCCATAGCGAACCGGCCTCTGTCAGAGTCAGAGCCTCATGCCTCATACGAGGAAAAAGTGTATGTGCCATGGACATGTACATAGAAACAGAGAAAGGGTATATTAATATACATATACATATACATATACATATACATATACATATACATATACATATACATATACATATACATACACATACATACATACATACATACATACATACATACATACATATGTATTTACATTATATATATATATATATGTATGTGTGTATATATATATATGTATTATGCCGGCGTAGACCCCAAACAGTGAGGAGGGCTGGAAAAGGCCAAAGGAGGCCAGAAGGGAATTCGCGCGAATTGGGGCTCGCATGGCTTAGGGTTTAGGGCTCAAGGCTCAGAGGGTTTAATCAATGCCTTGTTGAGTGCGCTCTGGGAGAGTCGAAGGGACGCAATCTTCAGGACTGTTATCTTACGTTTGCCGATTCGAAATTGTGTTCGCGCCATGGCAGCTGGTACCGACTACCCGGCGTCTTCTGCCGCAACTTCTGCCAACAATCGAATTTCAAACCCGAAATTCCAAACGCTAAATAAAGTCTCGCAGGTGCACGCATCCCTGACCTTTGAGACTACTGACATCAATCCTTGACCCGTATAGTCAATGAGCTTGGCTTTTGTTGTAAGTTTTCAACTGTCACCCCTAAGCATGCCGGACTGAAAACCCAGTTGCGGAATCGTTCTGACTTTAGTTCCTTGATACATGTTGTTGAAAAGCCAGCTAAAAGCTACGCATGGAGGCTGCGAGAAACCAAAATGGAAGTTCATTCGGGCTTCGTCGTGGTTTCACTTGATTGGGCTGTCTGGGTTTAGATTTTCGGGTTTGGAATTAAGGGTTCAGGGTGATAAGGTTTAGGGACAAGGTATACACGTTGTTGAAAAGCCAACTAAAAGCTCCGCATCGAGGCTGCGAGAAACCAAAATGGAAGTTAGGATTTACGGTTTAGGGTTTAGGGCTCAAGGCTCAGAGGGTCTAATTAGGGCTTAGTGCTAAACCCTACGTTTCTTGATCCTGCCCCCAGGTGGTCTCACCGCACACCCTCCGTGAAGAGGGCAGGGCCAAGAAAAACAAAGGGGAACAATTAGGGTTCAGGGCTCACAGGGTTTTGGGTTTAGGGCTCAAGGTAGGGTTTAGGGCTCAAGGCTCACAAGGTTTAGGGTTTAGGGCTCAAGGCTCAGAGGGTTTAATTAGGGCTTAGTTGGCATGCTCTGTGGTTTGTTTATGTGTGACTGCTCACAGGGGCTTTGGAATTATTGCAAAAATCTCAGGAACTATCGGCACATTCTTGGGAACTGTATACAGCAGTGTCCCTGAATAGTTGGAAACCGTTCCGAACCGTCAGAACTGTTTCCATGCATCCTGGCACACCTCATGCCAAAGAGATCCTGAGATCCGAATTAAGGTCCTGATGGCCACTGCAGGCACGACACAAATCCCATGCTAAACAAACCAGAAGCTAAACCCCCCTAAACCCTGTGTTTTCGCGAGGGTGCTCGATGTTTGCGAGGGAAATTTGTTGCCACCCACCAGCGTAACCTGACTCGAACACGTGGCGCTGATAGTCTGTGTCAAGCAAGCACGCAAAGTCGCCTGGCTGGTAGAGCGCCAAAGCATCCGTTTGGGGAAAAGGCGGGCCAGTGCCGTGATAGCGCCATTGCCGCACATGGTCATGTGGGTAGGACTGAACAAGAGAAGGCCGTCTGGCGTAGGCATGGCATCCGACAAAACGTTTGAGGCGTGACAGGCAAGAAAATATCCACAGCCCGGGATGTGCTTGGTGAGGATGCGCAGACTGTTCTTGGATCGCTGCAACAAGCAAGACTCCATCTCTGCATTACGCGTGAGGTCCTGCACCCCTTAATTAGAGGGTAGAGCCCTTAAAACGGATGGCTTTTGGATCCCCAGCTGCTTGGAGGTTCGTGGAACTTAGCAAATTCAGTTATTCATTGACATAAGTTTTAAGTAGCTTAAATGGGATAATGACTGGTGACACATCTACTGGTGACACATCTAGCTACCCTATTTGAAGCCCCACTTACTAAGTCCCCTGAGCTTTGAAGTCTAGATTAGGGCTTGGGTCTAAGGGTCCATGTATCTACGTATGCTGCATATACTTCGGCCTTGCAAAGGTCCTGTGGAATTTGTTTCTAAGACGACGTATGTACTCTATGGTCACCTGGAAGGGTTTAGGGTTTAGGCTTAGGGTTACGGCAAACACTAAGCCCTGAACCAGCCAAGAATGCTAAAAGCACTAGTGGAGCCAAACCACTACACCAAACCAGCTTATCCCATCTATCCCTGCAGCTCTGTAGAGCAGGTTTGGTTGCCATATATGGGCTTACGTTTCGGGTGCAGGGCATTCATTTATACGAAAAGGGAACTCCCGAAACACTAAAACCCCTAAACCCTGAGCTCCTCCAACGACGCCCCACCGTAGCTGTAGTTGCTGCTGCTGAACATCGAGAAGGGGGAAAAACCCGCCAGGAGACCTGCATTCACCATGTGTTGGGTTTCTGGATTTAGAACTTACGGGCGCGAGTGGAGGGATAGGAATTGTGTTTCGGGTTCTGTTGGGGGCCACGGCACCGAGCATGACCATAAACCTCGAGTGAATGGTCATAGTACGCGAATTGTGACGAACAATAAAGAGAAGACCTGTCTAAATCTTCAGCTCTCCTCAACGAATGCGTGCTTGCATCTTTGTCTGTCTGCCTGTATGCCTTGCTGTTTCTGTCGCGCTACTTCTCTGTCGCTATCTGCATGCCCGTGGCTCTCTTCTCTAGGGGTCCTAAGTACCTACATAGTAGAACCCTAAACCCCAGACCCTAAACAGTTGTTGGGTTTCTGTATTAGGAATTACTATTATGATCTAGGGAAGTATCCCCCATACCAGTACATAGGAACTTTGGGGTTGCAATTCCACAGGAACCTTCGAACGATAAGAAATTTCTGCACCACAGTCGAAGCCCTGCAAAGCAGAATCCAAATCGCTCAATCCTAAACCCTAAACCCTAAACCCTAAACCCTAACTATAGTGAACACCAGAAAGTTGGAGCATGGAGTTAGGACGATTAGTGCTGGGATTCCCATTGCTTCACCTTAAGGGCACGAGGAGAATGATGTTCCAACTTTCTGGCTTCTACTGTAACTCCAACCCTTGAAACCTAAACCCTAAACCCTAAACCCGAAACCCTGAACCCTAAACCCTAAACCCTAAACCCTATCATACCTACTGCAAGTAAACTTCAAAACAGAAGCCAATTCTGGAAGCATCAAGGAGCGCTTCCCCTGGGGCTCCAAATAGGTAGGTACTACTATGTCTATGTGTGTATATATATATATATATATGCATATATATATATATATACATAGGATTTAGCCTTTGCACCCCAAAGAAAGTACTATACCCAAACCCTTAAGGAGCCCTACACTCCAAAACCTAAACCCTTGACCCTGAACCCTAAACCCCTAAACCCAAACCTCTAAGGAGCCCCTATCAAGTCAGAAATTCGCCTAAACCCTAGGCCCAGGGGACTTAGTAAGTCGGTTATAAGTAAGGTTATAAGTAGGGTAACTCCATTTAGGGTACTTATAACTCTACTTATAACCTACTTACTAAGTCCCCTGGGCCTCCAAGTAGGCCTAAACCCTAAACCCTAAACCCTAAACCCTAGGCCCAAAGCCTAAAGCCCTGTCTGGCCTCCACCTTTGGCACTACGTGGTGGCCGAGGCTGCTGCTGCAGAGGGACCTCTTGGCTTGAATCTTTAGGACTTTTCGGGGTTAAGGGTTGAGGGTCGAGGGTTTGCGGTTTAGGGTTAGGGTTTAGGGTTTAGGGTTTAGGGTTTAGGGTTTAGGGTTTAGGGTTTACGGTTGTGGGTTGTTTAGGGTTGAAGGTTTGTGGAGCTGCAGGCTTGCAGCTCAAGGGCTCATTAAAGCTAAGCAGTGAAATCTTCAGAAGTCGACGAACCCCAAAGCCTAAACCCTAAACCCTAAACCGAACCCCGATCGTGTGTCGTGGTCAGAAGTTATAGGGCGTTGAGCTTCGGGGTTCGGGGTGTGGGGGTCCGGACGTCGGCTCCGAATGTTCGTGCTGGTGGGTATGCCAGTACAGTGATTTAGGGTTGAGGGTTTAGGGTTTAGGGTTTGCAGAAATGCCAAACCCTACATATCTGTAGTCTATGGGGCTTGTTTAATACTTGGAATAGGGCGAATAGGGTTTCGGGCAGTGGATGTCAAATCAAACAAAGGACCATAAGGGTGCACTCCTTCTAAACCCTAAGCCTTAAACCCCCAAACCCTGAACCCTTGTCATTCAGGCCCCTATACTAGCCTCAGCCCCATGCCCTACACCCCGAGCCGAAATGCCTAAACCCTCCACTCTGAGCCCCACACACTCTAAGTCTGGGGTTTAGGGCTTAGGGTTGAGGGTTTGGGGTTTAGAGGACTCACCTAAACGCTAAACCCTGAACCCGAACCCGAAAAACTAAGCCCTCAGCCCTGGAGGACGAAGACAGCGGGCCTTACTTGGAAGCAAAGGGCCTGGGACGTAGTACTCAGATCTTCCAAAACCCCTCAACTTAGGAATGTACCTTAGGTTAGAGTAGGATCCCTGAGATGATTGAAAGTATATTCCTTAAGCAAAGGCATTTTGGAAGATGTGGGTAAGTACTGTTGGAAGTATGCTGCTTGGGAAGTAGATAGCTGCTTGCAGGCTATAATAGTTACCTTACATATAAATAAATAAATAAATAAATAAATAAATAAATAGGTGTATACATATATAAGATTTTGTAGCCTAGGCCCTAGATAGCGAAGTCCCATGAACCTTTAAGTGCACACGCGCTGAATCCTTCAGCCGTATTAAAAAATAACTTCTCCAAGAGTATGCTGAGATTCTTATATGGTGGTTTCCGAAAATAGGAGACCCTAATATAGCACCCTAAATAGTAGGATCCCCATTATAAGGACCCCCCAA